GCAAGATTCAGAGATTATTAGGCACGACTTGTGTGACAAAACAGGAAGCCTCTTTCCTCCTTGTTGACTTTGTAGACATGCAAAGCAAAATGTTTTCATGTTTTTCAAGTGTGTGTAGGTGTCTGCATGCGTTAGTCTGTAGTGTAAGACTTCATGACTTTACAGCGTCCAGAAGAGAGAGAAAACAAGTGGATATTCCAACTTTTAAAGATTGTTTTTCTTAAATTCATGGCAGTCGCTCTGATGGTGCTGTGTGTTAGGGCAGTGGTTCTCAGCCCTGGTGGAAACCCCTCTCTCCTGGTTCTCAATCACAGGCTCTTTGATTTCAGTTTTCTAGTGGGGGTGAGTTGAAAATTTGCTTTAAAATCTTAAAAGTTCAGATGGGATTCATAATGGACTCATCCACCCATTACACCAGTTTCTGAGTTGCAAAACTGCCCCCTGTCAGGTGTGTGGAACTGGTCCCTTTAAACAGTGTCTGCCTTCCCAGGCTGAAGTGCTGGCCTCATGTCTTCTGGGTTATAAACAGAACAAGTCTTTGTTCAAATCTGTCAGCACGTTCAGTAACAGGCTCTGCAAATGTTAGGGATTCTTGATGTAAAGGGCAGGCACTTTCAATATTTACGTATCGCGCTGCGCCCGGAGTCTTGTGTGCTCTGATTTGGCAGACGCGGGCTGGCTGGAAGCAGCAGTAAAACTGGATATTTAAGCTGGCAGAGAGCAGCAGTCACAGCCCTGGGGGTTCTGGATTTGCTCAATCTAATTTTAGTTGAAGTAGGTCAGTGAAGTCGCCCCCCAATCCCTCGCCCCCACAACACCAATCTCTCCATTTCTTGGGGAAGAGTTGTTTTCTAATTAGTCGGAGTCGACTACAGGGAATGTTTGTGTTAAATCATTTTCGTGGTGAAGGCATTTAATGAGCTAGCAACACGACAGTGCTTAAATCCTGGAGGCCTGGCCTCGTTGTCATGCTCCCCTTCCGAGCCCCCCTTCAGTGTACTCCGGCACGTGCACGCACACACACAGCTCCTGTGTTGAAAACCCTCTGGCCTAGCATTAAATCCTGGAAAGAAAAGTCTCTC